ACAAGCTCCCAGGAGTTTAAACAATCTGGTGTTCTTTGAAACGGCGTTCCCCAACCCTGATTCTCAGGGCCCACTATACCCTGCATGTTTTCCATGCTGCCCTTTTAAACACCAGTGTTTCCCTGACTTAAAGAGCAAGTCAACCCCTACCAGAGTCTAACTCCGCCCACTCTCCGACCGAGATGGCGGATCTGCTAACACACACACACACACACACACACACACACACACACACACACACACACACACACACACACACACACACACACACACACACACACACACACACACGCACACACGCGCACACACACACACACACATACACACACACACACACAGGCTCACGACAGCATTGTGACATCATAATGTACCAGTTTACATCATAGCATACTTCTTAGCCAATAGCGGTGGCAGATTTAAATTAAAATGCAGTGCAGAGTTTTTACCTGACAACGGCACAACACTGCCAGTTTTAGGCACAATATTTAAATTTCAACTAAAATGCACTGAAGTGCCAAATTATTGACTACATGTGTCTGCAGCACGATTAGACATTCGTTTATTTAGTTTATCAGCAAAAAAAAGTTTATTTGGGGGCGACTTGCTCTTTAAATGACTGATTAACAGGCATCCTATCGTCTGATGTCCTCCTGAGGAGGCAATGCAAATAGGTGAATCAGGTGTGCTGAAGCAGAGATATGCAGGACAGTGGGCCTTGAGGACCAGGGTTGGGGAACGCCGCGTACATTGATTTGTCTTATTTTAGTTTATCTCTTTAAAATCTGATTCTGGTTTATTTTAAAACTGCAGATATTAATATTTCTGCCTTTCAGTGAGCAAAACTTCTCAAACTTGAACTTACTTGTTTGTCTGATAATTAAAGTGCGAGTAACTAAATTAGCTTTTCTTGCTGGTAACCTGTATAGATGAGTGTCTAATAGTGCTGTGGACATGTTTAGTAATTATTTTGAAAGTTTACTGCACTTTACTTATAATAAATTAGCCCTAAACCATAACTGAAGCTCCATCTTCAGGTGTAAACTCTACTGTAGAGCTGCAGGGTGATGTTGTCTGTTCAGTAAAACGTGGCTGCACTGCATTGGACTCCAGCCCAGTCTCTGCCACACCTCCAGCTGGCTCGACCAGTAAACTGCCTTGTGAAACGTTAAGGCTCGGAGCCGTTCACATCCTTTAATAAAACGTTCTACTTCCTCTCTTCTAGCGATCGCAGTGGACAGGAAGTTCTGTTTGCTCGTTCTCCTGAGCGGCGAGTCAGCTGTGTTTGTGTGCTTGAGTGATAGGGGGTACTGTCAGTCACAGCCTCGGTGCAGCTCTCTAGGTCCGCCAAGGGACGCCTCCTTTAGACGCATTTTTCTAACAGGAAGTGAGAGAGAAGTAAGACTCCACCCATGATGTGACTCACCCTTTAAATTGGCATGGTGTCGTGGAAAAGTATTTGCCTACTTAAAGATTTATTGTTGTTGTTGAATCACCAAAATGTTGAACATCAGCAAACAAAATTCAGTATCAGACAGAGATATTTCTTGTCTTTACGGAATTGTCTGATTTCAGACCCATTTTAAGGTTTTTTTGAAGCGGTTTAAGCAAGCCAGGGCATTTTTTTTGCCATTTGGCTTGTAAAGCTCCTCACATGCTGATGGGAATGATTCATTTAAATATTTTGTCAAAAAGATGAATAAGTTTAATATCATTTGAAATAAACTATCCTGGAAAACTCTCATCCAATCACTGTGAAGGTCGCATTCTTCAAGAGCAAGTCACCCCCTACCAGATTCTTACTCCACTCCCTCTTCCTGTTTGAAAAATGCAACAAATGCTGTTTCCTAGCAGATCGAGAAGGTGAAGCCACTAACAAATACACACACACACACAGGCTCACAACGACATTGTGACATCACATGGTACCAGCTAATGTTCTAGGGTGCCTCTTAGCCAATAGCGATGGCAGATTTAAATTCAAATGCAGTGCAGAGTTTTTACCTGACAACAACACAACACTGACAGCTTTAGGCAGAAAATTACAATTTTAACTAAAATTCCAAAACCCAAAACTATTGACTACACGTGTCTGCTGCACGATTAGACACGCATTTGTATACCGTATTTTCCGGACTATAAGTCGCACTTTTTTTCATACTCTGGCTGGTCCTGCAACTTATATACCAAATTATGCATACCGCGCTGCTGCGGGCCGGCTCTGGTCCAGGTTTCAGCTCCTCTGCCCCGCTGGGAGGGTTTCAAATGCCGCCATCATCTGCTGCAGCCTGTTAGGGTGCTGCGGGCGCTCTCCCCTCCCGCTGGGAGGGCTTGAAACACCGCCATCCTCTGCTAGAGACGCGCCACGGTTGTTTATTCTGATATTGGTACCGGTACTTGTCTTGCAATGTGAAATGCATGGTCTCAGATTTTGTAAGAAAAATAATAAATTTCCCCCCAAAATGCGACTTATATATGTTTATTTCTTTTTCATTATACATTTTATGGCTGGTGCGACTTATACTCTGGAAAATACGGTATTTATCAGAAAAAAAAGTTTATTTAGGGGTAACTTACTCTTTAATGATTGGATCATAACCCAGTCATGTAGCTGGCATAAATGGCTTTTTCTGACGTTATATGATGAGTGCATCGAGGCAGGAGTGTGGGATGATTTGATGCACAATAAGCTAAATTTAAAACACTCTATAACAGGCCTATTTAATTGGTACTCAAAGCAAGAAAGAAAAGCTCAAATCATACCAACTTTAAGTGTGTTTTTATGGCGATTATTATTTTAAAGAACAGCTAGAGGCGTATTCTCAAACATAGAGAGGGCGTCTCCGTGTCCTGCATCCACAATAGGAGCTGATTTCAAAACAGAAGACATAATAAACATTGTATGTCTTAGATAATGTCCCCCACACTGATTAAACCACTGACAGATGAGGTATTTAAGATTGAACATCTAGTTACAATGTGATGTACTTATGCTCTGGAAAGAAAAGAAGCACTCATAAATACCCGCCTAACTGTTATGCAAAAACTGCTCAGGAATAAACTGGCTGAGCTTCCAGTGAAGTTTCTGTTAAATTGGACCCCATCATTCCATGGCTAGGATTCTCCCTCTTAACAAACTGGATGCATTCCTGCATCAGAACCTTTGAGTTTGAACTTCATGTAAGTATTGGGTTTGAATTTTTTTGTCACCATCAACAAATATGTATTTTTTGTCCATTAAAAATTCTTTCTTTGAAGACTATTTAAGAGCTACCTTAATCGCAACTATCATCCATATAATGCAAAACGAATCTTTTGCATTTTTTGTGCTGCCATGTGGGTCTTTACTAGTCTGGAAAGCAGTCCTGCGTATGTGAACATGTATGTGGCACTAGCACACTAGCATCGACACTCCTCCAGAGTTAGAATTAAGCCTGATTTATGCTTCTCCGTCTGCGTCAGTGCGGAGACACGCAACGCCATTATCCGTCCTTGCGTAGGGCTCCGGCAGGCACGCAAGTACGTACGGAGTCGAGCCCACTTTTTTAAACATCCGTCGAACGAGACGAATTACGCAAGCTTGTGATTGGTCAGGACGCCGCTGTTTACAGCTCCGCCATTGCGCCCTCAAAAACATAAAGAGAGCCGAGGATAACTAGCGGCAGACACGGAGAAGCTTGAAGAATACCTCGCGAAAAAACTCTAAAAACATGAACGTTTAATTCCCCGTGACTGGAGGAGTGAAAATATGCGCAGCAAACATTTTATATTTGGATGGAAATGACAGGAAACGTGGGTTTAGAGGTGGCGAGCGCATGAAGTGGAGGAGAATGAGAGACAAATATGTCTGTGTTAAAAGTCTCTTATATACACAAAAAACACAATATAAACACACGATCTTGGACCGATACATGACAGGACACCACAGAACAGCGCTACGCCCTCTGTTGTCCTGCAGGGCAATTGCTTTGCAACACTCTCCAGGAGACGGAGAAGTATGAAAGCAAAACGCTTCCGTCAATCCGTGCGTGTCTGTCCCTTGCGGAGCTGACGGAGAAGCATAAACCAGGCTTTAACAATTTTCTAGGGGTGGCCATGGCCAACCCTGGCCCCCCATTGGGGGCGCCCTTGGTTATTTTTCACCAGCCCACATGCTCGGCGATGCGCTAATGACATCACTAATATCAATTTTTTGCCAAATTTAGAGGCCGCCCATGTGCTCATTCACATCTGCATTCCTAAGGCAATGTGGACGAAACATCTCACTGTTCGAAGTGTTTTCCTGTTAATAGTTTTTAAACTATCCAACAGGCTTTTAAGCCCATTTGGTTTTGACCTTTCTTGTTTAATTAACATTATTGTTTACATTGTAAAGCTCCACTAATTTTCAGTTATAAAATGAAATTCGATTATTCTGCAAATGTGATTTAAATCCACATTTTGAGATAGTTACAGCCAAAGCTGCAAGCTCAAAGGGTTTATAGTGCAGGGCACGTTCAAAGGAGTGAGCCTGTCTAACGTCTGATTCATCCCCACACCACCCCCACCTCCACTCAGAACTGTCCTTGCAAGCTGTGGGAGTCAGGTGGTTCCCTGGAGAGGCTCTGTGAGGCGTTCTCAGCTGATAGCTCATTCTCTACTGACTTCATCCTGCCAGGCAGTGAGCTGCATGCCTCCAGTGAATTGTGTTCTCTCTTATATGTAAATGCACACATGGACGTGGAGGCCTTTTCATCCGGATTTCACAATCAGTCACACACACGCAGTTCTTATTGGACACGTTAATGCAGCTGATACGTATTTCATCAGCTGAACACTTATTACCTTCCGCACAACAAATAAATCATCATAATTTCTGGGTAAAAAAAAAGTTGGCAACATGCGTCAGTGGCTGTTTAATTTGTAATATTTAACTGTACCTGTGAGTTAAGGAGACGAAAGGTTTTACCTTTAATCTCTGGAAATATCCATCAAAATGTTGTTGAATAAAATGAAGTCCAGTTAATGAAAAATATTGGTGGCTTTGCACCTTATAACCTTAAAAATCACGTTTAAAGTACATAGCGCGTGGGTTTGGTGTCTTTGGGGAGACGCCATGAGTGTTTCTCAATGTCACGCCTCACAAGACGCCGCCTTGCGACCAGCATTGTTAAAAAACACGATACATGCAGAACTTTTCTTTGCTAACAGAAAATATTTTATTCACAGAGACATTTGAAACATAACGAGCATTCACCAAAAACTTACTGTTTTTTTTTTTTTGCTGACATTGTTCGCATTGCAGACCTTCTGACACTGGAGTTATTTTCAAATTTAAAACAGGATTTGATAATTAAAGCTATGAATTGAAACACTGTAATGCTTTCACTGCTTTCAGCTTTTGACCCTGCTTCAGTCTATTCGTTACGTTCATCGGTATGTACAGTTCACACTTCAACACAAAAACAGGAATTTCCATGCTTGACTGACAATGAGGTTTGACGTTTCTCAGTGGAAATCCATGTTGACTTCTATTCACTCATCATCCATCTATCCATCCATTTTGGGAACCCGCTTGTCCGCGCAGGGTCGCGGGGCGGGGGGGTCGGTGCCTATCTCCAGCGGTCAATGGGCAATCAGGCGGGGTACACCCTGGACAGAGAGCCAGTCCATCGCAGCTATTCACTCATTATAGCAGGAAAAAATAAAAACAAGAACTTGTATTTTTTATTTTATTGTCATATTTGAGCCCCAACTTCATGTTGAAAAACAAAATAAGTGAATTATTTATTTACGGCTCTAGATTGGCCACATGCTGTTGCTTTTGGGAGAAAAAAACTTTCCCGGATAATATTTTTAGCAAACTGCATTACATACCTGTGTGTTATGACCACATGTGGACAAAGAAATGGAACAGGTGCATGAAAAATGACTATACTGGTGTGACTTTGATTATATGGAGGAACATTTTAAAGCCTAAGTTGACTCATTTTTTCAGCACAGTAATTTCTAGTGTAAATTAATTCCTTGTGAGTCGATCTTTGAGGGGAAAAAGCTCACACTCCTGTTTGAGGGAATAAAAGTCAGCCAGAGATGAGATGAACTGAAAATGACAGGATTTGGAGTTTCATTTCCAGATACCCAGACACCTCTGATTGGCTAACAGCAATGCGACTCTACCACTAACATAATTTGCTTTGCAACGTTGATGTTTTATCCCCGCAAATAACACAAGCCTGATGGAGTTCTGTCGAGTTGCTATTGCTAACAGTTAGCTTCTACTAGCAGAGACGTTCTCTGCCGTTTCCTGGACACTAAACCAACAACAGACTCCTGTCGAGTCAAGATGGTTGAGTCCATGAATGTTACACGACATAGATCTGTCAGGCTTTTCTAATCCGAGAGTCTCCCATCTGTTTTCTATCTGCGGCTAATGCTGGAAATGGCTAGAATGACCGATCGTATTTCAAAATAATAAGTAAAAAAGTGGTTTCTAAGGGAACTTGGCCTTCAATATTGTGAAATCAAATTGTGTTCCTGATGAAAGTCATAAGCAAATAATTGTTCATATTTTAGATTTAATTCAGCGGTAATCCAGACTAATTACTGTGGCAAAAATAATTTCACTTGTTTTTCTTTAAATTCAGTCCAAATTTGACTAAAATGGACAAAAGCATGTAGCTGGTGTAAAAAAAGATAGGCAGGGGTGGGAAAATGGATTTAATGCAAAACATAAACCATTTAAAATCTGTAATATATTAATATTTCTATAGTATTTTGGCATTGTTGGTTTCAAATCACAGTTATTCAAACATCATAGCACATCTTCAGAGCGGCAAACATTCTCTCCACATTAGGAGCAACAATCTCTTCGTCTCTGGTGAATAAGTCCATGCTGCTGTTGCTGTCATGAGTCAAGCACGCTGCAGCTCAGCCTCAGAAAACCAAAGAGGAGCACAAATAAGCACCCACTGCTGCAAACACACACACACACACACACACACACACACACACACACACACACACACACACACACACACACACACACACACACACACACACACACACACACACACACACACACACACACACACACACACACACACACACACACACACACACACACACACACACACACACACACACACACACACAACCCAGGCGCTTCACACAATCACAAGAGGTTTGGTGTTGAGTTGAATGTTTCTGCATGATATGCGTGCACATTCTGCACTGTTACAATGACAATTTGTTCATCGTTCCACCTAAAACAAATAAATATAGCTTTGAGCATGTGAAGTTTAAAATATGAGTCAGGGAATCTTGCGGTCCTTTTTTTCTCTAAATTGTTCCCGTTCAGGTCGTCACATTGGTTCACGGTAGGGATTGATTTTATGACTCGACATGTTTTGTAATGAAATTCAAACACTGGTTTCCTCTCCTTCCTGCCGATATGAGCAGTATTGGACCTGCTCCTCTAAACAATTATCATCTGTCATAGTGCTGGCGTGGCTGGTGGCGCCTCTTAGAGGTTGGAGGGTGAACTGCAGGGTATGTCGGCTCTTTGATGGCTTGCCTCTCCCCGTGCCGTTGCTGTACGAGACCACCAGTCTGCGGTTCTCCTCAGGCACGGCGGAGGACAGTGGTCTGGCTTTCTGAGGGCGAGGCCAGTCGCTGCTTGGATCGCTGGCGTTGTTGTCATGGAGGTCAAGCAGATTGCCCGTGGCGACGCTGCCGCTCTTGATGTGAGGAGTATGGCTGTGGGTGTGGCGGTACTCCTCACCAATGTCCTTCCCCAGTTTCCACCTCTTCCACTTTTTCAGCATCTCTGACTGCACCTGAGAGATGATTGGAGAGCAGAGAAGCAGAAGATTTAATAAAACACAGAGCACTTTACCAAATAGACGGATGTTGCCAATAAAAGCATTTAAAGGCTCAAATGTACAGATAGCTGCTTTTGTGTTCGTCCAAATTAAAATGGAAAACGGAGCTTTTACAGATATAAAGGCAGACGCGGGAAAGTTTCCTGTCTGAAAAGCTAAAGCAAGAAACTGCAATAGTGGTAATCATCAAAAGCAAAACAGTCTCACCTCTTTGTTGACGAAGCAATACAAGATGGCCACAAGCAGGCCCTGAAATGAGAGTTAGACGTTTAACTTTAAGCTGCAACTTTTTATTACTTGGAACAAACAACTACAAGCAAACAAAAACATCTTTTGATGTGAGAATTCCTGCAGATGCTTCATCAGCCTGCTAGACCAATGGCTATCTTAGTATCATTGCTTTTTACAGCTTTATTAAAATCTGAAGAGAAATATTGAAGTTTGATATCTCAAATTAGTCATATTAGTCCGGTATTAGGCCCAACCAGAGCCTGGTTCTGGTTCTTCTGGAGGTCTCTCAGCTGTTGTGCACCTACTTGTGCATGTTGCACTCAAGAAGGACTGCACTGAAGTGAATCTGCTGGTTTCCTTAGACCAATGGTTCCCAAACTTATTTAGCCGCGCACCCCCTTCTATGTCCCGACCATGTTGACGCACCCCCCAGTCCCCACATCAGGGCATGGCTATATATATATATATATATATATATATATATATATATATATATATATATATATATATATATATGCATATATATGCATATATATGTATATATGCATATATATTTATATATATTATTACGTTTATTGGGCCCACTTACATTTTCTTAGGCCCACCCACAAATGAGTTTCTGGCTACGCTAATGGTGACTTTTGACAGACTTCTCTGAGCTCCGCAGCCATTACACTTTTCACCTCGCGCACCCCCTAGCGGCAGCTCGCGCACCCCCAGGGGTGCGAGCATCACACTTTGGGAATCCCTGCCTTAGACCAATGCTATATATTAGTTGGCATTTTACTATATGCCAGATGTAGTGTATTTAAATGGATTTACTTAAAAGGACGCGGATCTGAATCAGACCATTTCCACAGAGGTGGATTGTTTAACTGTTGTCGTGATTTGGCTCTATAGAAAACAACTGAATACTCTGAAATGTCATGTTTCGACAGAAACCACATTCCAGGTTTGCAGTAGGGTTTTATAAACATGAGGCGGTGGCCTGAAGCACCTGAACTTAGAACTTTTCCAACATTTTGAACTAGTTGCACCAGTTTAATGAAACTATCACAACTTATAACAGTTATCTACTGCTTCAGATATTCCCAAACCTTTCAGCTTCTCATAGCTGGGGCAGAGGCGAATGACCCCAACCATACCCAACCAAAACATGTAACCTGGGAAACAAGAGCAATGGCCTTGTTGTTCAGCCGTTTCTGATAAGTTTTCTTCTTTCACTGAGCTTGATATGATTTCTGGAGATACGGGCCACCATTTGATGTATCGTGACTGTAGCGTCATGAAGGGCCTCTAATTTGTGACAAAGGTCACATTTTCCCAGCTGGGTCAAGCTGGGTCGACTGTACCTTTGCCCCACAGATTAAACAAGCGAGGAACCATGATGTCTGCTGAATATCGTCTTTGTCTGCTGCTGTTCTGTCCCAGAATGAAGGACACTTCAAGATCACAGTAATAATTTTAAATAATAACTTGAATAAACTGTTTGACTTTATTACAATTTATTATAATCATCATAAATAATCTCTTGGTTCAGTATAAATGTATTTTAATTACTGAAATGAATAATTATGCTTTGGGTATAATAATGATTTTTGTGATAATTGGTTATGTGTGTTCAGTAAACCAGAAAGTCATCTTCCACTTAATCCATCCACACAGGGGGCCGTCTTGCTGGGGGAGGTAGCACACAGATTGTGTCTGAATGCTGTTTCTCTAAGTAACCACCGAGTTAGCTGCAAAACAAGCATTCACCCAGAACGAGTTCCTCTCTCTGACAGAAACCTTCCGAGAATCCATTCACGCATCCAAGCTCTCATTTCCTTTTAGCTTTCCATCCAGACACAGGTAAAGCTTTTTATACCAAGTTGTCAATCCATGAATTGTCATTTTTAATTGTCATTTAAATTGTCATTTCTGAATTGTCCTTTCAAACTGTCAAGTTTAAAATCGTTAGTAATAAATTCTTAACTTTTAAACTCCGCCTCATCTCTGAAATGAAACACAGACTGGTGTGTGTTTCTGGTTATTGAAAAAGCAAAGATTCATAACTTCTGGTTCAAAAAAATAAACTTTTGCTATTAAATTTAATTATCTTAAATTAAACATTAATCTTTGGATTAAATATAGACCAAGCAGGTTGGTGTATGAACTTCTATCGATTATATAAGTATCCTGGATGTTTATACATGATATCAGCTTCATATGCTAATTTGCTTGATCATTCTCAGGATCTAACAACTGATAGCAAACAGTGTTGATTCTAGTATGTAGTAATACGCTACATAATTGGCTTAGCCAGCCCATTCTTTTTCAGATAAAAACACGCTACTTCTGTGTTTTATTTTCAATATTTTACTAAAAACGGGATTTGTGTCACCTTCATTTTCTTCCTCCGGAAACATCCGGGAGGGAAGCTTTTTACGGGGTTAAGACTCGCACTTTGGAGACCATTATTTTACTCCACAGAGGTCACCATTGCTGTTGTCAGACAAAAATCTGCTTCATCACTAGAATGAATTGACATTAAGAAGCTCTTTTTGATTTTTAATCTGTGAAAGTTGCTGAATCATGCTGGTGTAATTGGGTTCAGAAACAAGGTCACTTCAAGGACGTTACGTGCTAGTTGACATGCCACTTCTCATCTGAGGAGGATTTTAAACTCAGTTGGACAAATGTGGAGTGAAAACACGTTTGACCTGTAACGGGAGCTTCGCCGATGAAAGGTTGTTTGCTATAAGGCTCCAGATCCTGAGGGATGTCAGGGTCCACATGTCTTAATCACTTTGCTGAAGGTGTGGATTGCTGTGAGGCTGTCTGGGGATCAAATTCACTGACTGTTTTTGTTTTATTCTGTCTTTTCTCTCTTTCTTTGATCTTCTCTCCATCTCAGATCAGTGGCGTGTCCAGATCTTTTAAAATGGGGTGGCCCAGGTGAGGTACAACTTTGTGCATGGGTGGCACCAATGGTTATGCTTTTTTTGTTTTACGCCCAAGCCTTTTGTGGACAATGAAAAGCCTATTTAAAGGTAAATTAGTGTGGTGGCACCTGGGGTGGCCAATCAGATTCCAAGGGTGGCATGTGCTACCCCAGGCCACTCCCTGGACACGCCCCTGTCTCAGATTTGTCTAATTCTGTCCTTAACCCTCTCAGGCTCAAAATAAGTTTTGATAAAAGGGCGAAAAACTAAGTCCTTCAGGGGTACTTCTGAGTTAAAATACTGCTCATGAAATACGTATGTGGAGTAACCAGGTAGGTAGGTTTTAACTGTTGCACATCTGCAACGCCTGCCTCCAGAGGATTAAAATGCAACCAGTGCAGGGGTATTCAATTCCAGGCCTGGAAGGTTCAGGGTTCCCACGCGTCCTGGAAAACCTGGAAAATGAAAGACCAATTTTCCAGTCATGGAAAACACATGGAAAATGGGGGGAATTGCAAAATGTCCTGGAAATTTTTGAGTTGTCCTGGAAAATAATTTTCCCTCCTTGTGGATAAACAAAAGGATTATTGGGCAATATTGGGCTGCAGCGCTTCTCCTTTCATTTCTGCATCTAGCTGGCACAGTGCCCCACATGATGCTTCCAACCAATCAGATTGCATATTCCCCTTCAGTTCCAGTTCCACTTCTGTTTTTCCATCTGTCCTTTTTGCTAGATTTACAGATCCCCCCCCCCCCCCCCCCCCCCCCCCCCACAAGATTTATTTCTCCAAAGAAGGGCAAAAAGTAGCGGCTCGGTTCACGAGTATTGCGCTCGCAGTTTATAGAGTGAGAGGTTTGTCTCCTTCTCTCTGAGTGACAAAGGAGCAGCGGACAGCTTTGGTTTTTTCACAGAGCTTTGGGATAGCGACGGATAACAGGTAGTCTACCGGACCTGCGCTCCACTCAGTAATTCATACTAGTTCTATCGTCCGACAGCAGAAGCAAAAATATGTGAATGAGAAAAATGTCATGAATTCGGTTCTATCAAAATACTAAGTATGTGTTGAGAGGACAGAGCCTCAGCTGTTCATACCGTTTTTAGCTAGCTACACAGACCGCAGCCAGGGGGCAGTGAGAACTGAAGACTGGCATGGTCATTTGAACAAAGTTGTTAACGTAATTAAATTGAATTCAGCACAGCTAAATTAATAACTAGAATGATTTTAAGTGGTAACTATATATTTATCATGGTGCTACGTACAGTCCAGACTAAAAAGGTAGCGAACAACTACAAGCACTTATCTCTGAGGTAGAAAAAAAATATTTTTCAGGTTCAATATGTCTGTGGTGTTAGTGGGAGATATTAGCCTAATCATCTACCCTGAATCTTGTTTCTGGATGACTGGTCTAACCTAAAATGACCAATACTGGAACAACAAAATGCAGTTTAACATCCAACTATGTGAAATAAGCAATAAAGTGTAACGTGGTGTGTACAGTAAGTATAGTACATAGAATATGAAAGATGTAAAAGAGCTAAGGTTTGAAAAGTAGGCCTAATTTATTGAATAAACAGTCAATATAAACAGTAATAATCTTTCAAAATATGTGTTTGTATCCTTTGTTGGCAGGAGTGAGTGATGTCAGGAAGACGGTGCAAATTCAAAACTGAGTGGAAAGAAAAACCCCAGTTCAGGGACTGGCTAGGAGAAGTATCTGGAGATGTGCATAGGGCGTATTGCAAGCTGTGTAGAAAGTCTTTTGATATCAGTAACATGGGCATCTCAGCGCTCAGGAGTCATGCACGGGGACAAGGCCATGTCAAAATTTATGGACAGTTAAGCAGTGAGAGAAGAATGACAGATTTCATGAGGAAAACTTCAACAGATGCAGGAGAGGGAAGTAGCTGTCCAACAAACAGAGAGCTACCGGCAGCCAGTGTACATGATGAACGTGCCAGTAATGAAAGTACACCATTACCAGTGCCTAGTACAAGTGGAGAGAGAAATGGCTCAGAAACACAGGTCATCTCAGCATGTTTTTCAAGCCAAGCTGTGTTTGAAGCAGAGATCCGCTGGGTAATTAAGATGGTGATGTCACACTACTCATTCAACTCCAGCTCTGATGTCTCAGCCATTTTTGGTCAGATGTTCCCAGACAGTGAGATTGCCAAAAAGTTTTCATGTGGTGCAACAAAAGCAGCTTACCTTATATGTTTTGGCTTAGGTCCTTATTTCAAAGAGCAACGGGTCAATGATATAAGAAAAGCACCGTGCTATGTAGTTTCTTTTGATGAATGTCTGAATAAAGTGACACAGACAGAACAGTTGGATATTGTAGTGAGACACTGGAGCGAACACAAAGGGAAGGTTGTGGTGCATTATTTTGATTCAGAGTTTATGGGACACACGCAAGCAGAGAAGCTTCTGGAAAGGATCAAGATAGCCCTGTCACCACTAAATCCGAATAAGCCGTTGCAGATTTCAATGGATGGTCCTGCTGTCAACTGGAAGCTCCTGAGGATATTCCAAGAGGACAAAAGCCAAGAGGACCCAGATGCACCAAAGATGATAAATTTGGGAAGCTGTGGTTTGCATGTTCTTCATGGAAGTTTTCAAGATGGAGAAAGAGAAACCGGTTGGAAGGTGGGACATGTGCTTAGAGCACTTTGGCAGATGTTCCATGACTCACCAGCAAGACGTGCTGACTTCATTGAGGTGACCAAAACAACAACATTTCCTCTGAAGTTGTGTGCCCATCGATGGGTTGAAGACTTGGCAGTTGCAGAGCGGGCAATGGAAGTGTGGCCAGCTGTGCAACAGTACATCAGCAGCCACCAGAAACTCCCAAAAAGCAAAGTACCATCATCTGCTTCCTACTGTACAGTAAAAGGGGCCACAGCTGATCCTCTCTTTCAGGCTAAGCTCCAGTTTTTTGCATTTGTTGCTAGACAGCTGAAGCCTTTTTTGGAGAAATTCCAGACAGATGCACCAATGGTGCCTTTCCTTGCAAAAGAGCTTGAGTCTATCCTGAGATGCTTGCTGTCATGCTTTATTAAAAGAGAAGAATTGGAGAAGATGAAAACACCTGTCCAGCTGCTGAAACTTGATGTGCAAAACAAATCAATCCATGTGCCACTCAAACAACTGGACACTGGATTTGCCACAAAACAAGCTTTACAGAAAGCATCTGAAAAGCTCGAGGAAAATCCAGTGAACATACAGGTGTTCATGAACGAATGTGTCACTTTCCTTGCTGTGACCTGCAAAAAGATTATGGAGAGAAGTCCACTTGCATACCCAGCAGTGCGGCACATGAGCTCCCTCGAGCCTGTGATCATGGTAACAGAAACTGAGCATGCAATAGCAACGTTTGAGAAACTCCTACAGGTTCTCCTCAATGCAGGATGGTGCACTGCCTCAGAGTGCGACAAAATCCTTGCTCAGTATAAAACTTTCTCAGTGCATGCAAGTGTAAACCTCAAGGCAGAATTCCAAGATTTTTCATACAGATGCAGGCTTGAGGAATTTTTGGGAGATTTATCAGTGGTAGAGCAGAGTATGCAGCACTGTGGGACATGATGAAATGTCTCCTAACGCTGTCTCATGGACAAGCAGCAGTGGAGCGAGGATACTCCGTGAACAAGGACATGTTAGTGGAAAACTTGAAAGAGAGGAGTCTGATAGCATTGCGGCTGGTCCAGGATGCAATGGCTGAGCGTGCAGTTAATGAAGCCCTGCCGAAAGAACTAATCCAACACTGTAAAGGAGCCAGAATGAGGTATATGCAATACCTCGAGGATGAAAAAAAGAATAAAGAACAAACTGCAAATGAGAGGAAAAGAAAGGAGCTCCACCAAGACATAGAAAATGTCAAAGCAAAACAGAGAAGAATAATGAAAAGCAGTGAGTTGATGCAGAAAGAGGCAGACAAAATGGCAATGAAAGCAGAAAAAAAACAGGACTTCACATTACTGTCCAAATCCAATGCTTATCGCAAACGTGTGGCTGAGAAAAAGGAAGAGCTACAAGCCCTAGCTAAAACACTGGAAGACCTGCAGGAGAGCGCCAAGAAGCTACAATAACTGAGATTTATTTTAGAAGAACATTTTTATTGAAATGACATTGCTTTGTTTTATATTGACTTTTTTGCACTGCAGGATAGGGTTTGAGTTTGAAATTTATATCTTTGATTTACTTTTGCAGTGATTTTCATTTTTACTTCTAGAATGCAGGTGTCAGACTAAGTCAGCTGTAAGTAAACAGTAAAAAGGTAACCTGAAGGAGTTTGTTTTGGTGATTTATTGAACATAATATACTTTTTGAAGAAAGTACAAGAAAGTAAGAGGGGGATAAATAAACATTTGAGCATTACTGTCAAATACAAGATATAAGGTACCGTACAATTGCAGAAAATAACACTTCTCCAAAGCTTGGGATACACGATATATACTGAAATTTAATTTCTACTTTATCATAATATTTTACTTCATATTATCCAGGAGGCTAAATGGATTTTACATTTAAACACATTTAGCTTTACAAAATGTAAATCAATTTCATCAATATGACAAAAAAATTACAAAGATTTGGTAAATCAAAAATAATGTAGAGTCAAAAAGACACAACTCATCAATTTATGCCATTATGTATACCGGATGCGTAATTTGCCTTGGTGTGAGCAGATGCAATTAATTTAAAAGTTTGATAATTGTTCATATTTTCCAACGTTAGTAACGGATTGCGAATACAGTTTGGACCTTTAAAGTGATTTCTGCTCGTAAAATAGCAGTGTGGACCAGAGGAGTTACATTGTGTCAAGTCCTCTTTTTCATTTTTTGTTTTCGCAAACCTGTTTTGTGTTTTATTTATAATTGTGAATAAATGAAAATAAACTTTAAAAAAATCTTTGTCATGTTTTTGTTCTGCTCAGCAATTAAACCAGGTGATTTCAAACATCACAGTGAATTAACCTGGTTCAGCTGCTGAGCAGAACAAAAACATGACATGGAGATGACTTGATGATGTCACAATATCGCACCTCTGGTATGAACTAAAGTAGAGAATAACTTCTGTTTTAGTTGTATTGCATTGTAAGTAGAGGAAAGCAGGTGGGATTGTGAAAGACAAAAATCTTTCCACAACTATATTGCCAATATAACGGCATAGGTAGGTACAATATCATATCTGTTTCTAAATATGTCCTGATATGATCATTATATATATATATATATATGTATATATATATATGTATATATATATATATACATATATATATACATATATATATATATATATATATATATGTATATATATATATATATATATATATATATATATATATATGTATATATATATATATACATATATATATATATATATATATATATATATATATGTATATATATGTATATATATATATATACATATATATATACATATATATATATATATATAATGATCATATCGAGATATCGGCAAACTGTAGTTATGATAACTTGACTTGTACACTGAAAAAGTCTTGAAAATAATTTCAAAAAAAGAGTGGGAACCCTGAAGGTTGCTTTTCAGCATGTTTTAGTTTTAACCCTGCTTCAACACACCTGATTTCCACCAGCAGGTGATCAGCAGGCTTCTGCAGAGCCTGATGATGCTGCACATGTGATTCAACCACTGAATCAAGTGTGTTGGAACAGAGAAACCACTAAAACGTGCTGGACACTGGCCCTGCAGGCCCAGAATTGAATACCCCTGGGAGATGTTATTAGGTTACCTCTACATATAAAGATCAGACCCTTGTGGAGGTTTCATTTGCAAACTAGCTGCATTTTTTCAGTTTGAATTGATAAAGCTCCACAAAAGAAAAGCTGAATAACTTCTAGTTGGCCTTTTTTTTTTTTTTACTTACCCAGTGTTTCAACAGTTTTCTCATTATTTTAATTGTTTGACATTTAATATTAACAAGAATTACAAAGTGGTAAATGCATTAGAACAAAAAGATTCTGTTTCAGGTAAAAATCTTTTGATAATCTGCCTCAATAGATGAGAAGATGGGACCAGATGCTTCAGCTGATGAATGCAGGTATAAAAACAGGGACTTTGGTGAAAAATTCTTGCTTTTTAGCTTTAATTATTATTTGATCCTCATGCAGTTCAGCCAAGCTTGACTTGATAAACTAAAACATTTTGACATTTTAGTTTGGATAAATTAACTAAGAACAAAATGAAAGACATAAAAGCACACTAGAAAAAATCAATTTAAAAATCTCAACTACCTAAAAAAAATAAAGAATCTAATTAACAATAGGGGAGATGATTTGAAGGGTTTGTGTGGTTTTGAGCCCAGACCTGGAAGGAGTTGAACAGGAGGTCACAGAAGAGGCGAATGAGACGTAGCATGGAGCCTTTAGGGACCGACTCGTCGATGACGAAGGTGAAGAGGATGGCGTGAATGCCAAGCAGTGGGATGAGAGTCAGAGTGGACTTGGCCAGTCTGGACCAGAGATGGAGGAAAAAAAGAGAGTTTTTTTTAAAGAAAAAAAAAAGTTAAAGTTTGAGCTGTTAGATGCATAAATCCTTTCAACGACGGGACAGAAGATAAGCTGGATGAAAATATAGCATATATAAGTATATATACAATACAACATATATGTATTACAAAGTGGTTAAAGTTAATGTACAAGGTTGTCTATAGAAAATAGCTTATTATAGTCCAGTTCCTTTTCTGTTCTCAGCATCGCCCCAGAACCAGTAAACAGGCCCAGAAAATTCTCTGTTATCCATCCATTTTCTGAACCCGCTTTGTCCACGCAGGGTCGCGCGGGGGGTGGGGGGGCTGGTGCCTATCTCCAGCGGTCAATGGGCAATCAGGCGGGGTACACCCTGGACAGAGAGCCAGTCCATCGCAGGGCAACACAGAGTCACACAGGACAAACAGTCATGCACACACACACACACACACACACACACACACACACACACACACACACACACACACACACACACACACACACACACACACACACACACACACACACACACACACACACACACACCTAAGGACAATTTAGACAGACCAATTAACCTAACAGTCATGTTTTTGGACTGTGGGAGGAAGCCGGAGTACCCGGAGAGAACACAGGGAGAACATGCTAACTCCATGCAGAAAGATCCCAGGCCGGGAAGCGAACCCAGGACCTTCTTGCTACAAGGAAACAGCTCTAACCACTGCGCCACTGCGCAGCCCAAATCTCTGTTATGCTTTTATTTTCTAAAAATTAAAAGTAAAAAGTACTTTTCTCACCTGAACTTATAGTCTGTGTATCTCATCTGGTGAGCTCTTAGTTTAGACATCAGGATTTTAATTATCCTGATGAAAATGCAGAAGTTGATCTGGAAAACGAAGAGAGAAATTTACACTCAGCAAAATGAAGGCAAAACACTGCGAGACAGAAAAGAAAACGTAGGATTTATTTTGGCGCATTTGATTAAAATCCATCAGATGCTTCTTAGCACCATGTGTCTGTTTATTTAGTTTTTAGTCTTTTCAGGTAGAAAGTCTTCTGGTGTCTAAGCTTCAATGCTTTGTCTGAATTTTACAATTTTTTTATTTGACTCTTATTCTAAATATTCCCGACTTCCTTCCTGAGAAGGTGGGAATGTCCATAACTTTCACTAAAAATTGTCAAAACCACAGAGCAGATAGATAAACCACTGGAAACAAAGCACGGCAGAAGATCCAGCGTTATTGTCCATGAAGCCTGGATTTCAGAAGGCAGAAGAATAGGTGATATCAGAGCTCTGTGGGAGGAAGCTGATGAAAAACATGACATGAGCAGGGGTGACAGTAAAAACCCTTAAAGTGACAGTGTGTATTTTTCCTGGTGATAGAGGACAGTAGAAACCTAAATTGCGGCAAGCAAGCTGTATTTTTGTGTTGGAGTAAGACCTAACCAACGGATCCCCATTAGGGTCAAAACGCTCTAGGGAGTGCAAACTTCAACAAAATGACAAGCACATCAGACCCCCTTTCATCAATGGCAAAGAGTAAAGAGGTAAATGTGTAAAGCCGGGCGGACACTGTGCGACTTTTTCACTCGCAGCACTCAGCTTCAGCTCAAACTGTACGACTTCCTCGCAGGGCAGATCTCACGAGTCATGTGCTCACACTGCACGACCCAGTTCTCGGACGCGACCTGACTGCTCACACTGTACGTCTGGTAGCAACACGTCGGACATAAAAATATGCTAAAAATAGCAGTTTTTACACAACACGTCAGACTTTTTTGTCTTGCCTGTTGTCCTTCGGGAGTGCTGCAGGAGGACACACAGGGATTTATGGGGGTTGGATGAGGAAAACGAAATAAAGAAAGTAAATCTGTGTTTTGTGATCAGTTTAAGTTGACATGAACACGACAAACACGCTTTCTTGACAATCTTTGTGAGTAAAAAAATGTGTAGAAATAAAAACGAACAACGTGTGTTATTAGGGAAGTCGCGGGTGAGCGGCGTTGATGCAGGATTGCGCATGCGTCGTGAGCGGTTCTGATACTTTTTGGGTCGCAGCTGCTCGCAGCGCCGCCTCAACAGTGCGATACTATGGCGTTTAAAGCGTGCCACAACCCGTGCACGCGCATTGGGTCCACAGCGCGCGTGTGAACGGGACTCGCGAGCGGAAATATACATGGCGAGAGGTCATTTGTGCACTGAGAGGGAGCAAACTGTGTCTGTGAGCGCACAAGGATGTGCACAAGTGACAAACCTGCGTGCGCGCGTTGTCAACGAGCACACGGCAGAGGAAAACGTGCGCGCGCGGCAGCCTCTGTGCGCGCTCGGCAGCCTCTCTGCGCGCTCGGTTTCTGACTCCTGCTCGCTCGGCTGTAAGGGTTTTGGCACTCTGGAGGCGTGGCCTGTGGCAGATCTTCTCTGTCCTCTGATTGGTTAGTGTACCCCGCACTTTACCCTCTACCTATCTATATAAAAAAGTCTGCTAGTCAAGTAGTCGCTGGCATAGCTCAGTTGGAAGAGCGGGTGACTCTCGCCCCGGAGGATCCAGGTTCGAGGCTGGGCAAGGAAAATGCAGTAGATGTCATGTTAATTTTTCTTAATTTCAGGTATTTTACAGTTGTGACCGTTCAACTGTCATTAAACGTCCGAATGTTTGCTGGGCAGTGTTTTAAAAAGTGCACATAAGCTAGATGGTTTTAACCATATAAAATTACATTTTTTGTGATACTGGAAAAATACATACTGAAATAAAACTACTGATTGAAAACTTTATGACTGTGGTTGTACAATATATGACTCACTAATACACTGCAAACTCCCTTAGAGTGGGGCTTCCAGAGAGAGAGAGAGAGAGAGAGAGAGACAGAGAGAGAGACAGAGAGAGAAAAGTTCTTGCCTCATTAATGAATTGTTTATTTTTTTCAGTATTTAATTGACAAATTATCCTTTCAAATAATTAATTGATGAGTTACATAATTGTCCATTTAGAATTGTTGAATGGACTGAGTCAAGTTTGGTGCACTTTATATATTTCAAAACATGTTTTTTTTTTTAATTTTAATGATGCATATAAATAATTTAAATGTTAATTTAATGAAATATTTCTATTTTTTCATTACCTCACCCTTGTTTTGACAAAAACGGGACCTTGCTGGATAATATCATGGAGAAACTATTTGTTCACAGTACATGGCTCCGTAAGGATCTGTGTACCAAAGGAGGAGATACTCAGAAATCTGTCTGCAGATTGTTACAACCCAGACTGGAAGTGGTGGGCTGTAATAAGAAAGGAGACCAAACAGAGGAGTGGGGGTTCAACAACTGATTTGTTTAACAAAAGTAAGGATTTACTAAAGCAAGTTAGTGAACAGAAAATGGCCATCTCAAGGTTTTACTCGGATGTCCCTCAGCAGGGTGCAGCACTGTTGAAGGTCATCTGAATGAAAGCTTGATATGCAGTTTCTTTATGAAAGTGTGTAAATATACAGTGTGGTTGCCGTACATATGTTGAGGTTCTCAGACATCAGGCTTCTTTGCCCAGGCCTTCACTAGTGGGCTATTTTAAAAGTTGGTAAGGAGAAAAACCACAGCATATAGCTGATTGTTTACAAATGCAAGGAGGGGAATAACAATCAAAATGCTTGTGTTCTTGGACCAGATGAATGGAGCGCTCCACATGCACTCAGAGATGTTATGGCTTCTGTTTCTATAACTTTACATGCAGACATTTGAGGTTTGCCAGAAAGGAAAGCTGGCCTGTACACTTTGCAGGGCACAATGTCATCAATGAAGAAACCCCTGTCTACCATGATGACCATCTCTAGTTGTAGCATTTTCATCACACCAGATTCCCAGGTTGGTCGCTGATAGTTCCAGCATACAGTGCTGAGACAAAGGTCACTGGCCTATGTGGCACAATCCAAATGAGCCTCTTCAGAGTGCAGTTGAACTTGAGGAAAATATATGACTCTGGAAGAGAGGGGAATATGGCCATTGACACCTCAGATCAGTGCAGTCAAGAATTACTGGTGTTTGGGTAGTCCTGAACGTGTTGTGATGCCCCCACCGTCTCATTGGGTTTTCATTTGTGTTTAATTGTGTTTTTCTTCTGTTGTAGGCAGCTCGTTAAGCAGCCTTGGAGGCACCTGGGCTCAGGGTGTGGTGCTGCCTACAAAGCCTACTGTTTTTCTGCTTTCACTGGGTCTCTCCTGTGTGGTGGAGAGTCCTCACTGGCCATTTTCTGTTCACTAACTTGCTTTAGTAAATCCTTACTTTTGTTAAATAAATCAGTTGTTGAACCCCCACTCCTCTGTTTGGTCTCCTTTCTTATTACAGCCCACCACTTCCAGTCTGGGTTGTAACAATCTGCAGACAGATTTCTGAGTATCTCCTCCTTCGGTACACAGATCCTCACTGAGCCATGTACTGTGAACAAATAGTTTCTCCATGATATTATCCAGCAAGGTCCCGTTTTTGTCAAAACAAGGGTGAGGTAATGAAAAAATAGAAATATTTCATTAAATTAACATTTAAATTATTTATATGCATCATTAAAATTAAAAAAAAAACATGTTTTGAAATATATAAAGTGCACCAAACTTGACTCAGTCCATTCAACAATTCTAAATGGACAATTATGTAACTCATCAATTAATTATTTGAAAGGATAATTTGTCAATTAAATACTGAAAAAAATAAACAATTCATTAATGAGGCAAGAACTTTTCTCTCTCTGTCTCTCTCTCTCTCTCTCTCTCTCTCTCTCTCTCTCTCTCTCTCTCTCTCTCTCTCTCTCTCTCTCTCTCTCTCTCTCTCTCTCTCTCTCTCTCTGGAAGCCCCACTCTAAGGGAGTTTGCAGTGTATTAGTGAGTCATATATTGTACAACCACAGTCATAAAGTTTTCAATCAGTAGTTTTATTTCAGTATGTATTTTTCCAGTATCACAAAAAATGTAATTTTATATGGTTAAAACCATCTAGCTTATGTGCACTTTTTAAAACACTGCCCAGCAAACATTCGGACGTTTAATGACAGTTGAACGGTCACAACTGTAAAATACCTGAAATTAAGAAAAATTAACATGACATCTACTACATTTTCCTTGCCCAGCCTCGAACCTGGATCCTCCGGGGCGAGAGTCACCCGCTCTTCCAACTGAGCTATGCCAGCAACTACTTGACTAGTAGACTTTTTTATATAGATAGGTAGAGGGTAAAGTGCGGGGTACACTAACCAATCAGAGGACAGAGGAGATCTGCCACAGGCCACGCCTCCAGAGTGCCAAAACCCTTACAGCCGAGCGAGCAGGAGTCAGAAACCGAGCGCGCAGAGAGGCTGCCGAGCGCGCACAGAGGCTGCCGCGCGCGCACGTTTTCCTCTGCCGTGTGCTCGTTGACAACGCGCGCACGCAGGTTTGTCACTTGTGCACATCCTTGTGCGCTCACAGACACAGTTTGCTCCCTCTCAGTGCACAAATGACCTCTCGCCATGTATATTTCCGCTCGCGAGTCCCGTTCACACGCGCGCTGCCATGTATATTTTCGCTCGCGAGTCCCGTTCACACGCGCGCTGTGGACCCAATGCGCGTGCACGGGTTTTGACAGGGGTATGACGCGATACGATACCCTCACGTGGGACGAGCGAAATATCAAACACGCCAGAAGTTTGTGCGAGCTCACGATTGCTGATCGGTAGCTGGTCACGTGGTGTTAATCGCCTCTCGTCACCCCCTGTACACTACACGACGCTCAGCGCAAAACTCGCCCCGATCTTGTGGATTCTCGCAAGAGTGGAAAATCGGCTCAAAAAAGTGAAAAAGTCGCACAGTGTACGCCCGGCTTAAAACAACAAGGAATTACGTTTAAATTGTCGTTTGATGTCATATATGATGTTCCTCTCCACTGCAAGGAATAAAGCCATGAAAAACACACCGCTGCACTTCTGGAGCAATGCTGTGAGTAAATAAGCCATTAGGTCAAACGTAAGCTTCATATATATGCTACTGCTTTGTTGCAGTACTTTTATTTTGAAATTGACTGGGGATTTTACACTGAAATCGTGTGTGATTTCCTGTCTCTGTCTATGCCCATGTTAACTGCGGAAATTGACGTATCCCAGAAAAGGCTCGTGGAAAAAATAGAACCCGATCCCAGAGGTGTGACTAAGTCACAAGTAAGTCACAAGTCTTTCCAGTCAAGTCTCGAGTCAAGTCCAAGTCAAAGACAACCAAGTCCAAGTCAAGTCTAAAGCCAATGATGTGGAAGTTCAAGTCAAGTCCAAGTCCTTAACTTTGAATTTTCAAGTCATAATCAAGTCATCTGTCCAACTTCAATTTACATTTTATTTTGACAATGATAGTAAATACATTCCAGAAATAAAGCTTCTTAAAGCTAAATTTATTTGCTCAAACAAACAGAAAGTGCAACTGAAAATGATTATAAACAAAGCGCTGCTGCATTTAGCAGTAAATCAAACTCAGAACGAAGAATGATTTATGATTTTTGTCCTTGTCTTGCCACTTTTGTGCTAAAATATCAAATATGCTCAAGTCATCATCAAGTCAACAGATGCAAGTCGATTCATGTCGCAAGTCGATTCAAGTTGTAAGTAATTATAGATTTTATCAAGTCAAGTCAGAAGTCATTAAAATTATGACTCGAGTCTGACTCAAGTCCAAGTCATGTGACTCGAGTCCACACCTCTGCCCGATCCTATCTTTAGTGGCGCAGTGTAGCGTGCCGCTTCTGGGATGTGCCTGGAAATTGTCGCATCGCTGCTGGTTTGAAACAGTCCATGGACGATAATGAATCCTGTATAAAAGCAGTGTCATCCCGCACCGCTGATGCTTTCAGTGTGAAACCGGGGTTAGAGCCACTCCCTTGCATTTTACATCTGATTTTTATTGTTATATATTAAGAATATTATAATATTTTCCAACAACTGGGCATCATTTAACTCATTTTCAACTACATTTTGATCGATTTTTCCAGAGATTAACGATAAAAACTACATATTGTCCCTTTAAGGTTTTAACTGATATTAAAACAGGGGCTGCACTCTTCTTAAAATGAGAACTCAAGTCAGGATAATGTTTTTTGGTGATTAAATCGATGTTTCCCAAATTATTTATTCAAAGTTTACAACTTTAGCTTATAAGAATGAAAAATGCTGGTGAAGTTATAATAAAAGCTATAGTGCACCCTGAGAAAGATGCCTTCTGTCTGTTAAAAGAATGTCACATCATGCTTTATCACGATAGACATAAACGGGACTGTACCAGTGGGTTCTTCGCAGAAATCCAGAAGTAAATGCAATGTGTTTCCCATCTATGGTGTTCAGTTATCATGATTTTAATTCAAATTCAAAAATAATTTAATAATCCCAGAGGGAAATTCAGTTATTTTAGAAGTGATCAAAAGATTTCCCCATAATCAATAAGCTCCATGTGGTACCTTAACAATGTGATCGTGCATGACTCTCCATCTTCAGAACACACACACACACACACACACACACACACACACACACACACACACACACACACACACACACACACACACACACACACACACACACACAGGGTGATCTAGTACAGGACCCTCTGTAATGACAGAGCATATAATTCATTACAGCGCTCCCGTCATCAAGACTCCATGTTTGGTAAAGCCTGAACACTTTCATCACAGATGTGTTTGCATGAATGGGACTGTTTGAGCTCGCTCAAACACACTTTCCTCAGGTCCGAATGTGTGTGAGATTCCTATTTGTGTTGACTATGTTGTCACAGGACCTCACGTCTGCAATGCCGGATGGCAACATTTCTGTGATTATCGTGGTGTGGAACACTGCATGAGTCACACAAGGTGTGTGTGTGTGTGTGTGTGTGTGTGTGTGTGTGTGTGTGTGTGTGTGTGTGTGTGTGTGTGTGTGTGTGTGTGTTTATGTGTGTGTGTGTGTGTGTGTGTGTGTGTGTGTGTGTGTGTGTGTGTGTGTGTGTGTGTGTGTGTGTGTGTGTGTGTGTGTGTGTGAGTAACAAAACCAAAAGCACTTCATAAATAATCCAAAAATGAATACTTTAAGGTTAGCTGTATGTTTGTGAGGTACAGGTTTACACCTGTTTATAGCCTGACTCGAGTCTCTAAGCTGATTCATTAGGCAGTTGAAACCACAAAGTGTTGTGTTTTTGTGTATAACAGTTAATAATGCAAGTAGAAGGCCCTCCAGCATCATAACCCTGGCTCAGAAAACCAATCCTGTCCTCAAAAAGCAGTTTAATAAACGTTTCATTTGATGTTAGGCAAATTTTATCTAAATACCCTCACACATGGTACTGACTGACCACTAATATAGAATAGAATAGAATTCAACTTTATTGTCATTGCACATGTACAGTACACACGGCAACGAAATGCAGTTTGCATCCATCCAGAAGTGCTTTAGCCGTGAAATAGATGTATTACAATATATATTAGTAATAATATAGATGTGTAAGTATATTACAGAAATTGATCTATTACGTATGTTATAATGTACACGGTATGAATTATTTTATGAGTATTCTATGACTATAAGTATGTACAGGCTGTAGTTAATACAAGCAGTCCATGAGTTTAACCTGGGTCATATGTCAGGAGGCAGAGTTCAGGAGTCTGACAGCTGTTGGGAAGAAACTGTTCCGGTACCTGGTGGTCTTAGTGGTGGTGGTAGTAGTGGTGGTCTTAATATAGAAGGTGCATTCTCTATTACATCATGAGCAAAACAAACGTTGTTGTTTTTCATACATAAATTAAATTAGGAACATTATAATTATCCAAAAGTAGATGTTTTTTAGTGAATTGTTAGTATTTTAGCTGGCAAGGTCCGAAATATTAAAAATCCTTGATGGATTTTCCAGTTTTTAATTTGTTTTTGTGGACACAGTTTATTATTCAAACATCACAACGGTCAACAAAGAAGAACACAGTTCCTAATAATCTAAATAAGCCAAAAAAGCCAGTGTTGCCATCTTGTTTATCACAAAAATGTTAGTTAGCAGTAAAATCATCATCGTCATGAAAGAGACATTAAAATAAACACAAGATAAATAAATAAGACAACAGAATAAAACAAGAATAAAGCTGAATTATGTAAAAATAAAAAGCGTGCTGAGGGAATGCCGTACTACCCACTGCTGGTCTTTAAAAGGGTTAGGATTAGTTTGCTTCTGTGCTTCCTATTCAACTGGAGTTCTTTGGAAAATAGGTTCAACTTCCTGAAATTATATCTGGAAACGTCCACATGTGAACTGGCACATGACACGTCGGCTAAAAAGGAACAGCAGACACACACACTCTTACCAGATAAGCAAACAGTATAGGGGAGCGGATAATCCACCAATATCCCATGTTCATATTCCTCTCCCAGCACCTACACACACACACACACACACACACACACACACACACACACACACACACACGAATAAATTACAAATGTTGGAATTTGAAGAGCGTAAACATGTTCGTCCTCGACAGCATGAATAACCATCTGGGACTAAAAGCTGCAACACGTGAACACTTACTCTTCGTTCTCGTACAGATATTTGACTGTGATCCATGGCAACACGAATATGAGAGGCGCACCTGGAAATTACAGGAAACAAAGATTATTGAACAGCTCCTAATGGATCAGTGATTCCTTTTTGGTACACACGTCCAACATTTAGTCCTGAACTAGTTGGACTAAACAGATTTAGTCAACAGCATCAAACCACCTTTAATCTAATAAATAAAATTAATTCAGCACTTTTGCTAGCGTCCTTTTCGTTGATCATATATAAGACTCTCTAAAATTGTGCGAATGTGCTTTTTGGAGTTTTACTGAAGATGAACCTCGTCTCCTTTTTGAATACTATTGGTTTCATGGCCAGACATGGCACAGCGACTCATTAGCATCAACTTGATAGTACCGTATTTTCCTGACTATAAGCCGCTACTTTTTTCCCACGCTTTGAACCATGCGGCTGTCACGAACTCCTCCTCCTGACCACCCCCTACGGACCCAACTGGTGGACTACTACACTTCCCAGCATTCCCATCACCAGCGTGGCTCGTCGACGTCATCACGCCGACTCTATTTACGGAAGTGCCGCCGCTCATTCATCACTCAGTCATCGTCCATGCCAGACATTGACCCGAGTTCTCAAGCTCACCAGCCCTCAAACCAAGAAAGAGACATTTCCTCGCTGCCTGCTACCAGTAAGTCAGCTTCCTTGTTCAGTCGGAACCGCCGCTCAGTCTCAGCTCCTGCCGAGCGCTGCGCCGCCGTTCCCAGATTAAAGCCGCGTGTTCTGTTCAACCCACCGCCAGCCACTCAGCGTCTAGGTCACACAGTCACGCTACATTTAACCTCCGTCAAACATCAGCTCAGCCAATTAGACCTGACAGGGGCTTATAATGAGGTGCGGCTTTATTGAAGATTTTCCTTCACCTGCAGGGGGCGCTTTAGCAGAAAGTGAAACAGGTGGAAGTCAAAAGTGGAAATCGAAGAAAGTGCCCATTTTAATTTAGCACATGCAAGCAGCCGGCACGACGAAGAATCTTTTTCAGATCCATACCCCCTCATCATGGTAACTACACGAGTTCATATGTTGCCGCATTTAAGTTGAAGACCATCGATCTAGCAGTAAAGGAGGGAAACAGTGCTGCTGCACGTAAGCTTGGCATGAATGAATGAATCCATGGTTCGGCGCTGGAGACGGCAGCAGGTAGAACTCATTCAAGCCAGCTTCACCCGGGGATGATGACAGCAACACGGACAGCGACGCTGACATCGCCACAGAAAAGGTATGTGACGAAGCTCTTCTGAGGCTGTTCAACTCCGACACTGAAGAAGAGGACTTTAATGGCTTTAGTGCGCAAGAGGAAGATGAGAGCGAATGACTTCTTTTGGTAGGCAAGTGTGTTTTATTTACTAACCAGGCATGTTTTGTGTGCATTTTTTATTTTCTAATCATCCAGGCCTTATTAATGCTGTGTCAGCACTGTTCTTTTCTTCTAAACATGCAAATTAGCGGTAATAACGTGTCAGTGCTGTTTTTATTTTATAACCATCCAGAAATATGAATGCTATCAGTGCTGTTTTCTTTTCTAAACTTGCAGGCACGTTCACCCGTGTTTAAAATTCGTTTTGTTGAATTAAAACAACAACGAAAAACCTCCGTATGGCGTCTTTCTGTCTAATTATGTTATGGCCATTCATGCGCTGTGCGCCGGAGACCTGCATGTGGCTGCTGCGCCGCGGCTTGTATTTGAGTGCGGCGTGTGTGTGTAGAAAACCTTTTTCTGTTGGTGCGGCTTATATTGAGGTGCGCTCTATAGTCCGGAAATTATGGTAATTCAGAGAGACCATGAGCTTTTTTCACTCAATATCAGGATTTGTTTGGAATCAGACCACTACCTTCAAACTGTTGCATTAAAGCCTGAAGTTACAGCCTTGAATTAAAACAAAACAATAAGCCTACTGGTATGCTACAGAAACACGTATTATAATTATAATTTTGACCTCAACTGATATAATTAGCAATACAATGAACTGAGTGGCACCAAAATTGTATTAAAAACACAGAATCTTGTTTTGTCCACATGGGATGATGGAGTTGTCCCATGTGCTCACGCTACTCCCACGTCCGTCAACCCAGGGACACCACCCACCACGGAGCTGGGATTGATGAATTCAGACACTCCTCTCATCTTCCACTGGGACTTAAAGGTTTTATGCTTTACTTATTTTGAGTAATTTTGCCAATCACTAAACCTTTGTGCTAATATGAGTGAATTTATTTCATCCCTTGACAGCTCCAAGGTTCTGCCTGAGATCTGGCCTCAAGCTAACTCCAGCGGTGAACCCTTTGCTCTAGGAAAAGCTGAAATATTCAGCATCTCTGGTTGGCTGAGCTCAGAGCTCATCACCGTGACACAGATCAGAGGCGAGTCTCGGCTTTTGTTTCACCGCTGGAAAACTACATGGATGTTTGATCTCAGAGACGTTCTGAAAAGACTTAAAATTCAACCAGTGTCTCTTTGCATTCATTTTAATTGCTTTCATTGAAAGTCGAGTGTTTAATCTTGTTCAGCCGTTGTTTTAGTCTAATAGAGGAGATCTGAGCCAGTGGAAGTCAATGACACAAGCCTTTCCATCATTAAACTAATACTGAAATAAACCAGGTAGTATTAGATGGATAGGTGGTTAGAAACAAGTCCTATCAATCCTTGTAAGTTCAGAGGAAAGACGACTGGGCTCCTTGATTGCCTTGAAGATGTTTTGCTTCTTACATGAGGAGCTTTCAAGTACAAAGTAAGAAGCTCTTAAACTGTAGTGAGATCAGTCCCTCCAATCCTCTCTTCTGAGGGTTGTTTGGGCTTTTGATATCCTGGTTTTCCTGCAAGATGTTTTGATCACAGTCCTAGAGGTTTAATATCTGTGAAGCTGTCTGGCCCAACAGGGAGAGTCTGAAACAAAAAGGTCTTCTCCAAACCTAATCACACCCTCAGACAAAAACACACACACACACACACACACACACACACAAGTTGGGGTATGGTCTGGAGGCCCTGGCCCATGCTACGGCATGGCGGGTGGCTGTTGACTTGGGATCTCGGGCATCTTGGGCTGCCTGCTGCCTCAGGGGCTGTTCCCGAATTGGGAAGGGCCCTTCGCTGCTTGGTCCACTTTATTTTATGACCAAGGGTGTTCTCTCCATCCACCATCCTCACTATGGGTTGCAGGTACAGTTGGGGGGCTGGTGCTTGCTCTGCTGGGGGGCAGGGCCAGGGTGGCTTGGTTGCCCCATGCTTGGCTGTCCCTCGCAAGGTTTTGGGGTGAGCCATTGGGGTCTGGGCTTGTCTCACTCTGGGCTGGCCTGTATCGGTGGGGGCAACAGTCTGCTGAGCTGGGGGAGGCTTTGTGGCCCCAAATGAGTTCCCCTTGACTGGCGGCTGGTGCCCTGACGTTCTCTGGCTGGCTCCCTTCCCCCATGAGCTTGGGTCTGTCCTCTGGGCTGTCCAATTGGTGTCCCCTTTAGTGGCTACCGGCTGCTGGGGCATGCATGCCTCAGACTTTGGCACTGGTGGGTCTGTTGTCTATTTGTTGTGTACTGTTGTTACTCCATTCCCCAAACATAACAGTCTACTGCGCAACAGGAGGATTTTCCCACATCCCTCTTGCTGTGGAGTAAAAAAATGATATGGCACCCAGATCAAGCAATCCGTCTGCTTCTACTGCCAGGACAGGTTAAAAAAGCTGAGTGGTGTGGGATTTGAGTTCAGACCTTTATGTGAGATAACCAAACCAAAAATACATAAACACATAGCACCAGAGGCAAAGACTCCCATTTTCTTATGTTGGACAGAGAATATCAACAGTTTGAGAGAAGAGTAAAACAAGCAGTCTTTGTTTAGAGAAAAACAACAATAAATAAACGCAGCCTGGAATCTGATCCCCAGTTTCACGGCTATTTACTCCTTCAGGAACATGAACCAAGATAAGAAAAGACTCCATGACCCATCAGAAGAGGTCTAACTAAACATTATCATTGCTATATTAGTGGTTTGGTGTTGTACACATGTTTATGTTTATGTATTTAGCAGACGCTTTTGTCCAAAGCGACTTACAACTGATAATCTGCATGTTGCTCTTGAGGCTAACAACAACAACAATAACAACAACAACAACTTGACATCAATCATGGAGAGGAGGGAACAAGGAGTGGACAGTAGAGAGGGGGGACGGGTGCAGGGAGGGTGCTAGTTTAGAAGATGCTCTCTGAAGAGCAGGGTCTTCAGGAGTTTCTTGAAAATTGAAAAGGAAGCCGCAGTTCTGGTAGTGCTTGGAAGGTCATTCCACATTTGTGGAACGATGCATGAGAAGAGTCTGGATTGTCCTGAGCGTGGTGTAGGCACTGCTAGCCGACGATCCTGTGATGACCGGAGCGGTCGGACCGAGACGTAAGCCTTTGCAAGAGGATTCAGGTAGATGGGAGACGTACCATCTCGGACTTTGTATGCTAGTGTTAGCAATTTGAATTTGATGCGGGCTGCTAGCGGTAGCCAGTGGAGCTCAATGAACAGAGGGGTGACGTGTGCTCTTTTTGGCTGATTGAAGACCAGACGCACCGCTGCGTTCTGAACTATTTGAAGAGATCTCACCGTACAGCCTTGAAGACCAGTTAGAAGGGCATTGCAGTAATCGAGGCGGGAGATGACAGTAGATTGCACCAGGAGCTGGGTGGCATGTTGTGCTAGGTAAGGTCTGATCTTTCATATGTTATACAGCGCAAAGCAGCATGAACGAGCAGCTGAGGCAACATGATCTTTAAAGGTCAGGTGTTCATCAATCACAACACCCAGATTTTCGAACTGCCTTTGTAAAAACCTGAGAAGTATATGAATTCAGAAACACATCACCGTGGTGATTTAGAGCTTCCTGCAATCTGCTTTGAGAAACATCATGGGACTGAATACCTTACCAAAGGGCATTTCGGTGAGCGAAATAGAAAGATGACAACCGAGCTAGTTCTGCAGCGCTAGGAGAGGGTCGAGTTTTAGCCAAAAGCCATTTTGTGTTTTAATGCTAAATATACGTTTTAGTCAGTTTTCGCGGATAGATTGCTCTTTGTCTCTAAAGGTTCATCTCCAAGTAAAGATTACTGTGTTCTTTTGTTGAGTTGTCATTTCAGGTGCAATCCCACACCTGTCCACTAAAGGTCTTCAAAAACTATACATCTGTTGTCTACGCTCATCTGTATACTCACTGGGTTTGAATTTGTTAAAGTATGATGATCTGATATAATCACAACATGGTCGTTATATAAAACTGTTGCATGGTCCATCATTTACATACGTATTTATGAGTTTGACAGCACAGAGTCACATTCTTACCCCAGCCGATGGCGAGGTAAATGTAGAAGTATTTCTTCTCGCTGAAAACAGTGATGACAAGAAGGCTGTGCAAGTAGATCCCTTCCACCAGCAGCCAGTAGTTGTTGGCCATCACGCTGTACTGCATCATCACCATGGCACCACGGCACCACATCACAGCCTGACACACAGCAAAAGGTATGAGTGGAGAAGGACACATGCAGGAAGGAAGTCCTCTAACTACAAAGGATGTTTGTGGTAAAAATATACACTCAAATTTTTGGAAGCCTGATTAAAATCTTTATAATTGGATGTAACTCATAAGGATTGGCCATCTGTCGATGAGCCACGTAGCTAAACGTGTCTTTATTAAAAATGCGCCTGCAGGATCAATGAGGATCAAATCCTTTTATGATGTAGTTCTCGCTTCCTGTCTAAACTGCAACAATAAACAAAAGCATCACTGTGGTGACAATCTGTCCAATTATCTCAAAATGATTCATCACATAACAACTGAACTAAGTATTGACTGATGCAGACACATTCAGTTTGTTTATTCTGTTTAAACTTGACTCAAACCTTGAAAACCTTGATTTGAATAACAGCAAATTAACCAAATCACAGAAAAACTCAGAAGGAAGTTTTGCACAAACTTTTTTGGATGTAACGCGTCTAGACAAAATCAATACCTAATCAGATCCTTGTTAAGTGATAAACTGTGTGATGCCTTTAAAAGCTTTAAAACATGAAAAACGGGTGTTTTAAGCTCTTTAGATTGTGTTATGTCGTGTGTTTACGTTTAAACATTTGATTTTCCACAAAGGTTTCAGTTCTCATCATTTTAATCTCCCTTTAATGGCACCATTCAACAAAAGTGACAGGATTAAATTTAAACCAAGAGCCAATTTGTAGATTCATGAGCTGCTGCCTCCTCTTTGGCATTTTAATCACTAGTTTAAATGATCTGAGTTGCGCTCCTGAAGTGCTCGCAGTAACCAAGCTTCAAGGTTAACTTGGTGGGAAACAGTAAATAAAAAATCGGCTGTGTAAAATATTTCTCTGATCCAAATGAGCTGCATGTGAAGCGGAAGTGTGTGTGTGCGCGTGTGTGTACTCTCTCACCGGTATGTTGACCCAGGCTTGTGTCCGGGCGCTGCTGCCGCTCCGTGGGTCCAGAGTGAGGGTGAGGAGGGCGTCTTTGACCAGAATGGACACAGCTCTCAGGATGAAGGAAGCAAACAGGTTCATGTGGATGTTGTTCCTCATGCAGTGGAGCTTCCTGTGAGAGAAAAATGTCTTTACTGAGTCAGGAGGACCTTGTTTTTGATCTATATGCTGCCTATTCATTACATTTTAAAGGTGCAAGGTGTTAGAATGGAGTAGGAATGACACCCTGTGGTCAAATGCGGTTACTGCAGTGTATTTTCCTAAGCAAAAAAATCACTTTCTCACTGCCGTTCCGTGAGTTTCATGGCTGTTGCCAGTTGCGAATCAGCGGCAGAAGATTCTAAAGGATAAGCGAGTCGAGTCATGCACAGTAAATCCTGGAACTCACTGTGCGATTTTCAGCCATCTTAGCCAAATCCTGTGTCGTGAGCAAAATTGTGTAAATAACGGTGACCGCGGGAGTGATTTGCACATCTGTGGTTGTCCAGTCTGACCGGCTCTGTGAAAGCTTTTTGAGCCATCTCACGACCCAAATCAGCCTCCGACAATCTACAAGCATGCTTGAAAACCTACGATTCCTGTCGGCAATCGACCAATGAAAATGCACCTTTGGGACGCCGCAGCAGCAAGACTCCACCTCTCTGGGCTTTGGTTTCAATTTATGTTTAAAAGGCAGATTATAAACCACACACAAGTTTTTATTTTTGTTAATAGCCCAAGTTAAACTGGAGTTTTACTAAAAATAATTAAACTACATTTTTAGACCATCAAGTGAATCATGAAAACCTGGATTCTGTGATCTGTGAAAGTGTCGGAGATGAGCTCACGAACATAAAACACAAAAAACATGAGATCCCTTTTCATTTGGTGGAAATTTCTCATATTCAACCGATAAGGATGGTTCAGTAGCGTTTTCCTGCAGTGGGACAGAGAAGCTCCGCTCCGTGACAGCGGGTGTGATGAGCTGTCACAGACCTCACGGCAAAAGTTTAGATGTTGGAGCACTCTGTGACAGATAGTTATTTCTCTGTAGTTTCGTGAGTTTTTTTTTTCATGTATAAAAGGGGAGAAGGATCAATGACCAGCAGACAGCTCAGCTGTTTAGCTGAATGATGGGAAAAGGAGACCCACAGCTGGAGTATGATGCCAAAGCCAGGGTTTTGAAATGATTCTACTCCTTAGAGGAAGATGGGTTGGGTCACACAAAAAATGTGTGTTTTTTTTTTTTTTTTAAATCTTTTCAGCTTTGTTTTGGTTAGCTGCTGATAAATACATTGTCATATCTGGTGTTAGCAATCTTGGGTGTTTTACGGTAGGGAGCACTTACCACACTTATTATGGTAATATTTCTCCAGCATTGGAGGAATTGTAGTTGTTTGCCATCTTGCTGTTTGCTGTTAATAGTTCTGAAAGACTTATTAAAGGAAGTAAAACGCCACGATTGACTCATTATTCACCTCACACATACATTTCATTGTAACGTCGAGTTATTGGTCATTGAAAAAGTAGCTTGACATAATTGAAAATAATTTACCGTTAGCATTGTTAGGTCAATGTTAGCCTCTAGCCTGGTTCACCCGATTTTAGAGTAAAAAAAAAAAAAGATGACGCGGCCTCTTTGGGTACATAAAATACCTTCTGGGTCGCTCCTGTTTACTGGCTTCAGTTCTTTAACCCTCTCTGAAGCCTTTTGCCTGCCAGTGTCAAATGACAAATGCCAACACTGCAACGTTAGCTTGCAGGAGACATGGCTATCTCACACACTCACTGATTGTAAACATTAACAGTACCTTTTAATCATTCAGCTTCATTGGCTTCCCACTCTTTAAAGAGAAAATTATATATAAAGCCTTGAACAATCAAGCTCCTAAATACAACGTTGACCTCTTGAACCGTGGTGTCCTACACAGGTCACTGAGATGGGGCCACCAAGCCTTTTGGGTAATCCTCACACTAAATTGAAAACTAAGGGCAGACATGCTTTGTCTTCTTTGTTTTTAAGACCTCTCTTTAGAAGAGTTAGTATTTTCTTTAAAAGCCTTCTGCCCTCAGAGTATCTAAAAACTGCAGGAAGCACATATAATTTATTTGTAATTGTTGAATTTTTTTATAATGCAAAATAGCATTCACCAGTAAAAAGTTAAATGTGGGTGTTCTGGTGTGTATTTATTTTATCAGGCAATAAAGGGCTAACGCGAAGGGCTAGGTAAAAACCATCTAGGTCTTCGTTCTCTTATAAATTAACTTATTCTTCTCTTGATCCTTTGGATTATTTCTGCATGTTTAGAAGATGTTTTACCTGAAGCTGATGAGGACTCCCAGGGCCAGCAGCAGAGCTCCCAGAGAAAGGGAGTAGCCCACCGTATACATGATCCGGAGCTGACTGAGGATGCGACCGTACTGCTGCTGCAAACCCAACAGACACACAAAGACACTGTGTTCATCATCATTTCACAAAAACACACAGCTGAAAATATTTTGGGGGCAAAATGCATTAAACATGTGAACAGATGGAACGATTTTACATTTCAGATTCAGTCACATTGCTGCCCAACCATCTGTCATTGTAAGAAGCTTCGAACATGACAAGAATGAAATCTGCTGTTTGCACACACACCTCACGGGGGTCGTCCTCACACTCACTGGTATTCTTTTGACCCCATTTACCATCCTCACTGCAGACTCTGTAGACCAGACCCCGCTGAACTGTTCACGAGGAGATAAGAGATTAAGATCAGACATATTTATCATTTACTTCATTTTTTTCATGTTCCGTTAGAATGTTTTCTTATTGTGAGTTTGGTTCCTATAGAAAACTTATCCTATTCTTTACTTTTGAAAATCATTGTTTCATTAAATTTCTGCCTACCACTCCATCTGATCCAAGATGGCTGCCATGGGTAAGTGTTCATAGTAAACACAAAAATGGCTTCAACTCTAAATTTGACTGATAACGAGCTGAAACTGTGGGTGCTAGAAGATGAAGGGGTTTAATGAACCACTAGATGCATTTTCAAGATGGCCGCCAAAGCAAATACAAAAATAGCTATAGTTCAGGACTACAGGTTGTTTACATGTCCTCCAGATCTTCTGATCTAAGGAATCTCCTTTAAAGAATGCTAGGCTTTCACTATTTTTCTTGTCTGAATTAATTTTTTACATTTTTGGTTACAAGCAAATAAAAAAAACCGTATATCTTCTTTGGAGTTTGGAGAAAAAAGTAATTTCCCAACTTCTCATCCACACTGGAGGCATCAGGGGTGCACTGTTATTGAATGTATTGTAGTCTATGCTTTGATCGAAACCAACTGCGCAACATTTCAGGCACACCCCAGAAGCAGCACGCCGCTGAAGGTGGGTTTGGGTTCTATTTTTGCCACGAGCCACTTCTGGGGCACTTCAATTAACACAGAGCTAGACAGGAAATCACACGATATCAGTCTACAATGTCTAGTAATTTTCAAAATAAAATACATTTGTAGAGATGCAATTTCTATGTAAATTACATCAATTCATTGGACCCGAAATCATATTTATTCCCAACATATTTCGAGAAGTGCAACGGTGTGTTTTTCATCAATCAATCAATCAATCAATCAATCAATCAATCAATCAATCAATACTTTATTAATCCAGAGGGAAATTACAGTTTGAGTACACACAATTCAGTCGGGTTTTCACAGCATCTGTCGGCATTCCTTCGTGGGGGTTTTAGTTGCTTGAACTGACAGGGTGTCAGATTCACATAACAATATTTTGTTTGGGTCAGGCTGAGAAAATTTTCCTCTCTGGCTTTAGTCTTTAAACTGATCATTCCAGTCCTTCAGTGGAGCCAATTTTGGGTTTTTAAACCTGTCCATACCGTCCAGTGACTCTCTCCGAGATGACATCTATTTTGTGCACTAATACCAGTATCGCAGCTAGAACATTGTCCAGCTTACGATTCACCTCGAGTAACGTCCCAGTCTGAGAAGTCTCCACACGGACGGTGCTTTCCATGGGTGCGGGTCGCCCTCCAATCGCTCCCGTCTTCCCAAATTTCCAGAAAACCAGATATCCCCCCACTCCAATCAGAAGAAATCCAGTGATCATCAGGCCGAATATCCACATGTCTTTGATGTCCTCAATGGACAGCTGGCTGAGGCATATGATCTTCCATTCCTTCCAGGAATCCAGCAAACACCCCACCGGGTGTGTCCCCTGTGGACATGTGGGAGCCCCCGCTCTGTTCTCATTGTTGAAAAAATCTTATCAATCGCATTGAATGACCAATTTATCAAATCCATGGTTTGTAAAAATAAGGTTTTTCAGAAGAAATGCAGAGAAGTGCTCTGCGGGCAGACAGGACAAAGAGCCTTGGGAAAAAAAGATAAGGGAGCGAAAGAGAGAAGCGTCTGTGCTCCGCGAGTGCCTTGAAGAAAAGAAACATGGCTCTAATTCTGGCAGTGAGGCACACAAATGTGATCTCCTTTTTCGTTTTTTAGGTCTAATGGCATAAACAAACCATGACTTTTGAAGGCATGCGTGATGTTGGGATCTTGCGAGTCCAGAGAGGAGGACAGTGGATTGATGTGCCGCTGATCCCTCCATTGTGGATTTGAAGTTGGTCACATCGCATTGTCACAAGCTTCTTTGATTCATGGTTTGTGTCACAAAAACACAAAAGTGACACTTTGACAGATCAGAGGAGTTTTAAATAAACTTTTAAAAGTACTGCAGTGTGAAATGCTACTCGTGCTCGTTGTGTAGCTTGACTAATGTTTGGCCTTCACACTGAATAACAACTTTTATTCAGACCACTTCAGGAGTTGAGCGTGTATTACAGTTTTATTTACAACATCAGGTGAAAGTGGATAGGCACAACACTTTATTTAAAAAAATAAATTAACAAATAAATACATAGTTCTGTTAACGATAAGTCTGAAAACCTTCTGCATTTATGGCTGCATGGTGGCGCAGTGGTTAGCACTGTTGCCTTGCAGCACGAAGGTTGCAGGTTCGAAACTTGGCTGCGGCCATTCTGCGTGGAGTTGCGTGTTCTCCCCATGCATGCGTGGGTTTCCTCCGGGTACTCCGGTTTCCCCCACAGATCACAACATGCCCTATAGGTTATAAATTGTAAGTCGCTTTGGATAAAAGCGCCTGCTAAACAAATAAACACAATTTAATTTTAGCTTTGATATTATCTGATGACTCTTCCTACAAGACTGAAATAGTTTTATGTCCAATGATGAAATTGTTCAATCCCGAAGGACAAAATATATTTTATTGTAGCCTCTTGTCAGAAGAAACGTTTTTGTCAAGTAAAAAAGGATGAAAAATAAATAAAACAAAATTGTATTAGAGGCTAAAATGTTCAGAAACGACTACAACTGTCCAGCATGAGTACTCTGATTCTTATTTTATTTATTTTTCTGTAAAGAAGTAGAAATGTGTGCCGTGCAGTGTTTTTCATGCAGGATTATCTCATGGAGAATGTGATGAATATGCATGAAATAAATGAGTTGTCGGAATTTCAGGATACATTCTGGGAGGAGGGGATTGACCGGCAGATGCGATGGCCCGGTTCTGTCAGCTGTGGTGTCTCCATTCGCAATGCGCCCTTTCAGGAATTTGCACACAGACGTTGAATATTGGGACGGCGGTGGGTGATGTCATGGATCAGCACCAAAAAGCGTTCACATTAACATTAATAACATGTAAAAATTTATTCTGTTGAAGTTTATCATAATTTAATCCATTCGGAGGACGAGAGCAGCTGCGCGATCCGAAATGTGGCGTTCAGAGACCAGAAGCTTCATTTCTTACGGCGCTCTGTGAGACAACAAAGCCCTGTGAATGGCGTTGTGGAGGGATTCCGCAGGTTTTGTCGGTGTCGGGAGTTTAGTAACAGCAATTTTAAAGCAGTGATTGGTGCTTATTTTCTTTTGCTTCCATTCCGCTTCACGAGCAGCTCTTCTAATTTTACCACTGCCGGTTATTTTGGACATCTCCTGATGTCATTTCCTACTGAGATACAGCGTGATCGCCATTGTGAGTTAACCAAAAGTTTCGCTCAGCTACTCCGGGCCCTTCTGAGTACCTACCCCTCATCGGGTACCATGAAAGGTCCTAAAAATGGCTGTTCAGCTCACCCGGGCAAGTGGAGACATGCACGTCGAGAAGTTCCTGTAAATTTATTGAAGTAGTTGTTGTGTTTTGCACAGATAATGATTAAAGTCTGCATGATAGCAGAAATGTGATGATAGTTACCTTAAATGATTTACAGTAAATCCTCTAATATTGGCCTGTATTCAATTAATGGCCGGGTATCACATTTTGGCCGGTGTCGGAGTCGGCGGAGGTGAATAATGGCCGTTTTTTTTAATTGTGGCCGGGTGGAATGTGGTTACAAGCAAGTACGGGGGGCGGTTGTGTCATCCGTCTCACTTTTGATTTGCCAGCTAGTCGCTGTCACGTGATAATGACCGGCAAGATGCAGTCCTCGGAAACGACAGCAGCCTGCTGTCAGCAGGTGACAAGCTCCTGCGCATCAGGAGGCAACGCGCTGTGCCAGAGCGTCGGTACTGGCACCCGCCGTAAAACGGACATTTAACCAAATTGTGACCTTTTCCCTCTTGCAATTTAACATTCCCCTCACCCCCATCCTAACCTTAACCGGCTTGCGCATGCAAAGCTCTGATCGTTGACGCACTCCAGACATCTGCGTCCTGAGCACGGCCACAGTAACAGTAACAAATAGGTGTCGCCACCTCAAAAAATAATTTAACACGCGGTCGTTCATGTCGGCTCATTTCCTTTTACGTTTTCTGTCTTTTACTCTTTTATTTGTGCCTGATGCTTTTCACTTTCGCTGTTTTTGCGGTCGATCTTTTAGAACTGCAGTTCAAAGATAACTCATAAGGTGACTATATATGAACCCAGGTAGCAGTTTCTCTTTAGGATTGAGAGGAGATGCAGGAAGATAATAAACAGAGACAGGATAGAATAATAGTCAAATAAATACAAGTTAGTTTTTGTACCTGCTGGTTGCAACAAACAGACACCATTGAAGGTAATCAGAAGTGAGGAACAGAAAATGAAATGATTATTTTAATGTTTAGAGCAGCAGGAACTCCGAGAGGCTGCAGGCGCATCAGTGAGTTTGCGGCCGCTGCGCAGGGGGAGGGGGGAGAGGGCTGAAGCAGAAACTACCGTTGTTAAAAGAAATGTGTTTAACTTTGAAAATGTGGGCGCAATTTTAATTGTCAAAAACTCCAGCGAACCATTAGTTCATTTTGCTCAAATAGAAATAGAGGCATGCCTCTAATTCTGGTCCTCCTTCCAATAAAGGCCTGGAGCTTGATGAGCTTGGCCCGGGCCTGTATTAGAGGATTTACGGTATTTTCTTTTTTATTACCCCCTTATATATTGGTATTAGTTTATACTGGTTTATCAGATATTGGTTCAAAAAGCCATTATAATCTCTAGTAATTATTTGTTTTGTAGACATTTGCATTCTCAGACAGACCTTTGTGATACCATGGCAGGAACCACGGACAAGTGATGTTGACAATTGTTCCTGGAACTCCATCGGGCCAGCAGGCATATAAATCAAAGGTTCGGTTACACACCAACCCTGAAACAGAAAGTAGGTCTGTGGAACTAAGCAGACGGCTGAGGAGATTGTGTTTTATTTTATAACCCTGAATAGAATAGGACAGACTTCATTGATCCCACAGTGGGGAGATGATCTTGTTACATGTATGAATGCATCTCACTGAGATTTGGAGAAAGGCCCACCTGTGGCAGGTGGTGTGGAGTTGATGAAGTCCATGCATTGGTCCTTGTAGCTGCTCCACTGCTCCTTCACAAGCTCCAGAGAGTTAGCAGATGAGACCTGAGGAAAGAGAAGCTTCCTAAAGCACCATGTGAAGTTTTTCCCTCTGGTGTGAGCTCTCAGTGGTACGCCAGAAAGAGTGCATTAAAGGTTAAGTTCCTCCGCGTGTGTGGGAGTGTGTAGGAGAACCTAAATAGGGAGCAGGACAGTACCTTTGTGCAGCTGGAGAGCATGAGCAAGGCCAAGAGGAGACACACCTTGGACATCCCACTGATGCTGGGAGAGTGGGGGTCAGTGGGGGCCAGAAGACAGAGGAATCCCAACACATGAGGCAGCCTCGGACTGAACTCACTCAGCTGCCTACACACACACACACACACACACACACACACACACACACGCACACACACACACGCACGCACGCACACACACACACATGCACGCACGCACACACATACACATGCACACACACACGCATGCAACACACACACACACACATGCACGCACACACATACACACACACACACGCATGCATGCACACACACGCCCATGCATGCACACATGCACGCACGCACACACACACACACATCCATGCATGCACACACACACACATGCATGCACACACACACACACAAGCATGCACGCACACGCGCACACACATGCACACACATGCATGCACACACACACATGCGCATGCACACACACACACACACACACACACACACAAAGAAAATCTGATTAAATCTACAACAGAACATGACTGTTGAACACACACCACTATGATGATTTTAAGTTTGCAAAGGTTCATAGGACTACAATTTATTATGAAATACAGCTTATTTCATTCATTTCCCAAAATGCACGCATTCATTTTCACACAAATGAACAGAAAAGATGAAGCAACAACATCCCTTAAGCAACGACATGTTTAGAGATGCAACAGTGCAGAGACACTACACCAGAACTGGTACCTTCAACAGAAAATCAGACAGTTTCCATCCTCGGTGTGTATTTGTTGGCCCCAACCAGCTGACAAAGATCTAATCACACAGAACTGTTTGTGTTTGCTGATTTTCTCGATGGGATCCCGTGACACCAGCTGACCACCACCCTCGCAGCAGGAGAACAAAACGAAATCTGAAACGTTTCTGCAAAAAACAATTTGACCATGGAAACATTTTTGGCTAAAACGTTTCAAATTCCATTTTGTTCCAGTCGTTTGGCTTCGGACGCAGATCGTCTTCGGCTCCTGTGTGTGTCCGTAGGTCCGTGGTGATGAATCTCCGCTCCACACTGAAATCTAAGTGGAACATCAATAGTCTGTCTTGTTTGTGATACAAGCGCCTTCGTTTTAGAAGGTCTAAAGAACAAACAACAATAATACAGAAGAGTGCTGTTGTTCGTTCAGCCTGAAGCCGACCTTAACACCACGTTCAGCTCTCGACACACTCAGGCGGTTTACAAGCTCTTGTAGGACTAACATGTTTGGTACAAAACCTGAGGGATTACATCAAGGGAATAAAGTGCTGAAAAGAAAAACTGGTTTTAATAATCTGATTCTGAATCCGATTATGAACCAAAACAGTTCAAATTAAATCATCCAACACTTCCTACATGTGTTATTTTACTTCTGTGTCAATCTGATTCATGGCAAACCTCATCAATGTGTGTTTAAATCCACAGTTAAATTATTTTTTCATAACCGTACCTTCAAGTGTGGGAAACCGTGGATTTAGGTAGATTACGAAAGATGAGCTTCAAAATATGAAAGGTTTGTACGACTTTGTTGCTCTTTTAGTCGTCTTGTTGACATTATGAAAATTATAATCTGTTTTAATCTTTTAAGCCACTGGATTTGAGAAAATGGACCTTCGCCGTCTTTGCTGCTGTGTTCTCCAGAGTAAAATCAGTGTTTGTAGGTAAAAAGACAGAGACAGAGAATTTTTAACCTTGTTTTATTTGTTTGTTCCCTGATAAAGATACGATACAGGTCAGAACACTGCAGAGCTGCCTTCACATTCTCTCAATGACATTAAATTTATAACCAATGTTTGAAACTTAAACAATAATAAATATGAATATCAATCATTAAACATTTCTGCACTTTTTAAATAAAATTAGCTGGTGTTTATAGATCCTGGATGTGGAATTCCCATCTGCTGTTGTATTATGAGGATTGTGTATGTGTATGTGTACACATACGTGTGTGTGTGTGTGTGTGTGTGTGTGTGTGTGTGTGTGTGCTAGGGCTGCAACAAACGATTATTTGGATAATCGATTAATCGGATGGGGTCTCGACATGATTAATCGATTAATCGGATTACATGGGGAAATTTTTAAAAACTGCTAGGGAAACGTTATTTCTCTCCTTCCTTCACTTTATTTAACACAACATTATTAGAAAACAGTTCAATAGCAGAAAAACAACATGCCATCACCTAAATTGTCTTATAAGGTGTATAGACAGAGACCCTAAGCTACATCTATCTGTGACCTAAAATGCTTGGTCCAAGTTAAACAGCTTAAGGGCAATTCTCATCTGTTTTGTTTGATCTCATCTGTTAATATTTATTTTAAATGTAATTAAACATAGGCTCAAAATTGATCACTATTTCCAAAACTGACTGAAAAAATACCAAATAAAACAAAAGTAAATGAATGCCATCCTCCTTGCGATGATGCCCTGGGCAACTGCCATAAAGTCACATCAAGAAATGCTGCTGATCATTCCAATGATCCCAAATAGACTCACATTAGGCCACATGAAAGCAACTGAACCCAAAAATATATTAACCAGTATATAACTGCACTCTCACACAACAGGCCTGCAGCAACAGTTAGGACTCCTCCCTCCCTTTTAAAAGCGTTTTTGCTTCTGAGGACATTGTGGTTGTAAAACCACATGCTAGTAGTCTGGCCCCGGTGTGATCAACCAGTTCCTGCGGGAATGTGACGGCGGAACCAGGGCCAGATTAACACTTTGTTGTACCCTGGGCAACAATATTCAAGGGCTCCATCATCACGACCCAAGGATCACCATAATGTGGTCACATACAGAATATTTTACTGTAATATGCAGTAAATATACTCAATACTTGAATGCTTGACAACACGTAACCCGCCCAGAGTAACCTTTGACCCACCTCGTGTGGACTGACCAATGAGGAGAGGGTCTTAACTTGAGGCCCTCTCTTCATTGGTCAGTCTGCATGAGACTGACTCTCAACTGACATTCAGTCGTAGGCAGCGAAGCGTCTCTTTGCAGTGCAAAAGCCCGGGTGGACAGTTTGTTTAATATAGGGTGACCATATTTCCATTTCCAAACAAGAGGACAGGGGATCTGTGCCTATGATGTCACACTATGGCAACGCCACACAAACCATGTTGGGACCCATTTTTTGTAAGAACTAAATTAATATCAGATTCTGCCAATTAAAGGGCTCTAAAACAATTCATATGTAAATATTTTGCATATTTAATGCAAAATCTAATTTTTCTGCTTTAGTGCTGCAACAAGGTTTTATTAATAATAAATTATTATACCTTTTGTTTTACTACAGCATCGGTAAGCTTCCTGTGCACAGATTATTAAGGATGCTTGTTTCAGCTGTGAGATTAGACGATAGGATCAATGAAAAAATAAGTTGTCACACACTCCATGGAAACTTTCAGAGAATCCACAAATAGCGGCTTTCAAATGGTTTTGTTACTTTTTGCAAGTTTTTAAAAGAAGCAGATGAGACAGCATGTCTGATAATTTAGTTTTTCATCTGATAATATTATAACTAATACTACTGGAGAGGGTATGAATTACACAGAGGCTTCTGGGGAGCCCAGTTATGGGGGGGGGGGGGGGCATTTTGCCTTGGCCCCCAAAATGTCTTGAAACGGCCCTGGGTGTGTGACTGAGTTTTGAAGGTGATCTGAATTGTATCAGATGTATAAATATGACATGTGTATAACTTATTGTTTTTTACTGGTAAAAACGTGTAGTGGAGATAAATCTACCTACATTTGACTTTTCAACACTTTGTTTTGTTTTCTTGTTTTTATTTAACTATTTTCCTGTCCTGTCTGTCTCTCATATTCCTGCATCTCCTCATAATTCTCCAGAAAATCTGTTGCCTGGATTCTTACCTTTTCACCTCATCAGTTACTTTTGAGCAGATCAAAGGGATCTCCTGACCGAAAAGCGCAGAGCGCGTTTTCGATGCTGCGTGAGGTGAAATCACCACAGCACAGGTGATGAGCTCCGCAGTAGCGCGCTTTAGGCACAAATAAGACAGAAAATAGAGAACATGTGCGGACATGAACGATTGTGTGCTAATTATAGTTTTTTGGTTGCGCCACTTTGAGAATGGACCGTGCGCTGGAAGCAGCTGCCTGGATCGCTGCGCGACAATGCGGAACCGGTTCGCAGCAGCGCAAGTCTGCCGGCTCTCCCTCGCGCTGATCTGCCGGTACTGGCTCTCCCTCACTGCTGATCTGCCGGCTCTCCCTCGCGCTGATCTGCGGCTCTCCCTCGCGCTGATCTGACTTGATCTGGTCTGCGCGCAACGGCGGGCGGGAGGGGGGGGGGGGGGGGGGGGCGCTTTTGGAAGAGTTGTGCGACACAACGAATCGATGACGCAATTCGTTGCCAACGCTTTTAGTAATCGATTTTCATCGAATTTATCGATTCGTTGTTGCAGCCCTAGTGTGTGCATTTGCATGTGTTATTTTCCAATTTTGGTTGAACTCCTGTAATGTTAAAATTTGATGTTTTTACTTTCATTGTTTTAACTAACTGTAATTTTATATGGAATTTTGATGGCGGCCTTCTTGGCCAGGGCAACATTGCAAAAGAGACTTGCTCTCAAAGGATTTCCCTGGTTAAATAAGGGTTAAATAAAAAAATAAGTATGAGGATTGCTGTAAAGACTCTGACACTAGTCAGTGGCTTGATGCAATCTGCTGGGTTCCTTATATAGGAAACTTTTTTCTGACTGGCTTAATGAACTGGCCTGTATTGGAATGTTTACTATGTGAAGCTCCTTGAGACGACTGTTGTTGTGATTTGGCGCTTCATAAATAAACTTGAATTGAATTGAATTGAATTAATGTTTGAATGGAAACATGTGAAATGTGCTTATCTGTTCATTCCAATGCGGAAGTGGATCTGGGCTACAAGCATCAGGGTGTCAAAGTGAGTAGAACACAGCAGACACTCGTAATAGTTTCAAACTCATAGACTTAATGACTGGGGTGGCAGGTTACATGTTACACACACACACACACACACAAGCATGCGTGCACACGCGCGCACACACACACACACACACACACACACGCATGCGTGCACACGTGCGCACACACACACA